GACGGGTCGTCTACTCTGGAGTAGCGTTGCGCCGAGTCCTTTTTCACTGGCGTCGCACTGTAGTGTGACTTCTTCGTTTATATCATAGTACTTTAGCACCGGATGGTTGCTTACGAGGCGCTTTACCTCTGTAAAAGCTCTGTCGTGTAGTGATGACAGGACAAACTGTGCATTCTTTGTTGTCAGGTCTCTGAGGGGCTGTGAAACTTGCGCGAGCTGTGGCAGGAATTTGGCCAAGTAATTGTTGAATCTGAGTAAGCTCATCAATTCTTGTTGCTGGTGGGCCTGGGCATGTTTTCAATGGCAGCGATCTTGTCGGGATCAGGTTTTAGACCATAACTGCCGATCACGTCCCATGAACTTAACTTCGTTTTGACGTAAATTCATCTTCTTGCCGTTTAGCTTGACCTCTCTTGTTCAGCAACCTCTTTAGATTCTCATCGTGTTTTCCGTCAGGTTCCTGCTGAGTTGTTCGGTAGCCAATGACAAGCATGTCGTCTCTTCTACTCCTGGAAGGTCGGCGACTTTCTCCTGTAGCTTGCATTGAAACTCTTCGGGTGCTGTGTTGATACCAAACGGCATTCTGAGGTATCTTTAGCGGCCAAACGGTGTCCAGAAGGTCGTCAACTTGCTGCTTGCTTCATCTAGTGCTATTTAGTAGAACCCGCCCTTGGAGTCTGAGGTACTGAACACTTTCGCGTTGTTGAGCCTCGGAAGTAGCTCATCTAGTGTTGGCATCTGGTACTTAGGTCTTTTGTGCGCTTTACTTAGATCTTTAGGGTCGAGGCAAATTCGTATTTTGTTGGGTTTTTCCACAACCACCATACTGCTGATCCAGTCGGTTGGCTCTGTTTCCTTCTTTATGATACCCTTTCCCTCAAGGTCTGCGATCTTTTCTTTCACTTCTCTGCGTATCGTTACTGGGACGCGTCGTGGAGTGTGTTGAACAGGTGTACATTTATCATCTATGACAAAATTAAACTGGCGTTGCCGATGTGTCTTAAGCCTCCGAATACGTCTTTGTACGTGCTTAGTATTTCCTCGCGGCTGAGCGGCGTGTTTGTCTCTGTGACGCTGTGTAGTGCAGCTATATTCAGCTGAATAAGTTCGAGCTTCTGTCAAGTTTCTGCAGACAGCAGGGGTTTGTTGTTGGTCTCTATCACTTGAAATACGAGATCTTCAGTGATTGGTCTGGTTGGGTTGCTGTGGTTTTCAACTGTCAATGATGTGGTACCGATGGGCTTCACCAACAATCCATCAAACAAACGAAGTCTGACCTAGGCGTTTTGTAAAGGTGGATTTCCGGTCTGCGTGATTCTGGATAAGTCGTCGTAGCTCATCACGTTGCATGTCGCTCCTGTGTCCAGTTGGCACTCTAGTTGCTTTCCCAAACGGTCGGTACTGCTTAGAAAGTTCAGTCTTGTGAAGAGCTGTTTTCCTTGTGATACTGAAGACACATCTTCGATGCGAAATATCTGTTCTTCGTCCGATTCTTCGACAGGTTCTTCGTCAGATTCGTCGTCCGCGCGAACATCACTTGTGCTTTGTTTTGAAGATAAACAAACCGAGGCGAAGTAGTTTTCCTTTCCACACGAGTTGTATGTTTGGCCGAGGGCCGGGCAATCGTCGAGCTTGTGATCTAGTGGTCTTCCACAGTGGTAGCACTTTCGTTTCGAGCTGTTGTGGCTCTTTGCGGCCAGCTGTTGGTCCTTCGTAGCGCGCAGGTTCAGTCATTCACTCGGAACAATTTGAAAATTGGCACAAACCATAGACCACTTTCATAAATGGCTGCCGGATTAATATGCTTTTGTTTAAATTTAAATTAGCCCTACTGGCCTCGTTCTCCAGTACAAAATTGAAAAGAATACATTATCTCAAGCGAGGCCAGTAGGGCTAATTTAAATTTAAACAAAAGAATGTTTATACGGCAGCCATTTATGAAAGTGGTCTATTAGACACTGACCAAAGATAAGCGAATCAACTAATGTGCTGTTTACCATGTTTACGCTAATATTCAGTGGTCTTTCCTGATTATTAATTTGTATTTTTGATTGTGTGCTATTATATGTGTAGAAAATGCTGTCCTCTTGATCACTTTTGTATGTATTTTCTTGGCCAATATATATTTTTTACAAATTATTACAAGTCATGTTTCTGCAATATTACAATTAAAACTGAATGAAATGATGAAAATAAAAGACATATCGTTTTTCATAAATTGTAGTTTTTAGTTATTAACATATCATCCAGAAATACTTGACTATACTGCCAATAACTCCATGGTACAAGTAGCTACCCAACGGGGGCCGTTTTGACTAAATACTGGGGTCGTTTTCACTAGTTCTGGGGCCGTTTTCACCAGGGGCCTTTTTGATCTGGGGCCGTTATCACTGGTAAGCGTCTTGCCGCCGTTGCGGGGCGCTTTGTTTGGCTTTCTGTGGGTCTTTCTTTGGACCGCGTGTACCTCTTCGACTTCATTAGGAGACGCCTTCATGGACTTCAGTTGAATATTCGCAATGTTACGCGAGCGGGAAATGTTCACGGTTTTGTTTAGCATAAGATCCTCTTCCTTGAGTAGACGTAGCTTCGTTGATTGATCGCTAATTCTTAGCACGAGTTTGTCGCGTATGAGTTCTTCCCGTATTCTGACCTTCTCCAGTTATGACACAAGCGCTGATCCTCTTTTTGTGCAACTTAACTGGAGACGGTTAGATACTCGGCGACAAATACAAGTGGCCACCATGGTTTATAAATCTATACATGGTCTTGCGCCCGACTATCTTGGTTCTCTTTTCACTAAATATGATCCTCCATAGAATCTAAGGAACTCTGAAAACAAACTAGCTGTTCCATTGCCCCGCACCAATTTCCTGAAAAATAGCTTTAGCTATAACGGTGCGGTTATCTGGAATAACTTGTCCCCTGAATTGCGGCAAGCAAAATCACTTCAATCCTTCCGAAATGGTTGTCGCAATTTCTTCGTCTGAATCGACAAAACACTCACGGCATCTATGTAAAGCAGAATTTCTTTATTCTTTTCTATTTCACTTTTAAATTTTAGATCATGTTTATATAGATTAAAATAGATTGTAACTGTAATAATAGATTGTAATAATATTATCATTTTATCTGATAGATTTACCGTGTCTAAATAAAAATAAAGTTCAAGTTTAAGTTCAAGTTCAAGAGTCCCGAATTGACAGGACGACGCTAGTTTTCAGATGCGGTTTACGAACTCATCCACGGTTTCTTCGGCGTTTTGTGAACACATGTTAAATACATAGAGCCCATAGACTACATTGCGTTTCGGTTTGAAATGTGGTTCGAGTGCTTCGACGCATGTCTCGACATCCTTAAGCTCCTTGACTGTTAGTCTTAGATTCATAAAAGTCTGCATGCATTCTCTCCCCATCACAGATCGTGGCATTGCTAACCTGATTTTAGGGTCTCGTTGGTCTAAACCTGAAGCAACCTCGTAGTCCTCCCATTGTTGTCTGAAGAACTCCCAGTTGGCGGCTTTGTCTTCGTGGCATACCATCGGTGACAGTACGGTAAAATTCGAGGTAAAACTCAACGAGGCTGGGGGTTGTGGTGCTTCTATCGTGTCAGGCGTGTTTGTGAAGAGATCGACAATCAATTACTGCTTTGTTTGAGCTAGATTTTTACTCCTGACACCATGTGTAGATGTCAAGCAAGACGAGACAAAATGTGCTCGGTGTTATTCAGAAGCTTGCTTGCAATCGACTGCTGGGATTCTAGTTACATGCGGCTTACTAGCTGACATACCGGAAGTATATCATAACATAACTCACACACCGGACGTATATCGTAACAGACAGTCTTTCTCTTTACCATTAGGTGGACAGTTTAATTTATTTCGATCTAGCCCTTTTTTTCCATTCTGGAACAAGTATTCACCCTGCTGAGTAGTTGTCAAACATGTATTACATATTCAGGCCTTACTCATGGCTTGAATTTGTGGCATTTGTATGTCTAATGCTTCTAAATATACTGTAATACCAGTAGTTTAACTTACAATGTTAGAATGCATGTTTGCATTCATGTTACAGGTGTAGCTCAAAAGTTGGTTGAGTATTATGGAATTGTACACATTGATTTATTTCAATAGACAAGTTTTGTTTTATTCCCTGCCGAGCAACGTGTTTGCATCACAGGGCCCAGTTTTTTCCCCACACACACTGACCTAGACTCACACACACAAAAAAACTTAATTTTCTCTGCTGGTTTGCTTTCCACCTCACCATGATTGGCAGGAAAAAAAGTTGGGACCATGGTTGTAAAAAGTTGTACTGGCCATGAGCATAATAAATTAACAATAAGATATGAGGATTTAAGATTTCAGCCCACTGAGATGCTTCAGAGAAAAACAATATAGAGTAGACATTTGAATAAATGAGTTTAATTCAAAACAGTCCCCAATCGTTGCGTAAGGATTTTCCAGTAACGATTGATGAGTATGCCAACCTTAAGGTTTAGCTGAATTTCATTTCACATGATGAGATGATGTGATTCTCCATGAAAGATTCTCCACAGGATACTTTAATTGAGGCCATTTTATCCAATTCCTCACACATTTAACCATCTCAAACAATTTCCTGTGTATAAGCACCACCTGGTGATTTGACCTCTGGACTCTGATCAAGATGTTGAGTCTGGAGCCATAGCCACTGTCTTGTACGAGTGTTCCTGGGTAAGACACTTTACTCTCACTGAGTGTTCCTCTCCACTCAGGAGTAGAAATGGATATCAGAAAACTGTTAGGAAACTATTAAAAATGATGAATTATGCCAGGCAGGAGCTAAGTGGGACTATTTGTTCATATGATGAACTTTTATCCTATCCAGAAAGGACTTATTTATAAGCTCCTGTAATACTTGGACTGTGACAGCTTCCTTTATTTTTAAATCACTAAGAAATTAACTAAAGCTAAATTATTAGAATCAAAACTTTATCCTTATGTAATCTTATTTTCTCTGCAGAGATCCAGTAGTTTGCACATTATACTCCTGATGGGTAAATTTAACCTTTTATTCTACTGATGAGACAGATCGGTGTGGTCAGACAAAGGAGGAGTCAGGTGATATCATTGAAATTATAGTTAGACCTGATGATCCTCCTTCACCACAAGACATTGCTGGTCCACCTGTGTCATTCAGTTCTTCTCCGGATCCTGTAGCATCCTCTTCGAGAGTTGCTGAAACTCCACAGTCACCTGTGGACCTTGTCACCAGACCTGACTCAGCAGACTGTCACTTGAACAGGCCATCACAGCCACCTATGGAGAATCAGAGAATCATGAGGAGGGAGACTCAAACTGCAGGTGAGTCAACCATCAATGCTTCAACTTCGTTGTGCTAACCTCACAGCGTACCAGCAAGAAAAAGAAAGAGGAGAGTGGCACTAAGCTACAGAAAGCAGGGCTCTAAAGGACTGAAAGTCACAAGTTCAAATATTACAGGTTATTGCCCACCCCAGAAGTGTACTTATATATCATACTATATCATGATAATAGTATGGTATTCCCTTTCATTGGTATCATGGTAGCAGCATAGGGCATAGGATACATGATTTAATATATTCTCCAAACATTAAATCTTTGGTGAGTAGCAAAGATGATGCTACATTGGAGCATCCTAAAGGTGCTCCTGGCTATAGTCATATGTTGAATAATCTCATCATCTGTAACTTTCAGTTAATTCTGAGGTCAGTTAAAACCTAACCAGCAGGATTAAAGGAAATAATGGCTAACCCTAACCTAACAATGAATTATTGGTAAATTCTTTGTCATCTTTGCTAGCTGTGGTCTTAAGCACTAATTGGTGCAATTGAACTAAGTTGGAAATGTTTGTTTTCTGTAATGTGGTATGTTTTTCTTGTTGACAAGACCTCAGTGACAGAAGTAGTATTTAAAAAGTTATTCCTTTTTTAGTAAAACAAGGCACCCCAACAGATGATGAACTGCAGAAATTAGGGAGAGATATTGGTGAAAAGTGGATGCAGCTTGGGCATTGCCTGAGAGTTGAGGAGCCAGAACTACAGGATATAGACCAAAGACAGAGGCAGCTGTGTCAGAAAGGATACAATGTGTTAATGGCATGGAAACAGAAGAATGGTTCTGCTGCAACTTACGAAATTTTGAATGCTGTATTACAGCATGAACTTGTGCAGCGAAAAGACTTAGCGGAGCAAATTTGTCACAGTCATGGTAACTACTTTCAGAATTATTGGTTGATAAGGAGTAATTTTCAATAATTTGGTGAATTATTTGATGACAGCGAAGTTTGGGTAACAGTGAACAATAGTTCCCATTTTCGGCTGTCGGTAACCTGTTGGTCAACTGTTGGCAGACAGGTTACCAACACATTAGCAACAGTTGGCTTACAGTGTTAAGTAGACCAAAAATTGGGTAAAAGTGAAGAACAGTTCCCGAAAGGTATGGTTGGCCGATTGTCAGCGAACAGTAATAGCCGACTGTTGGCTCTCTGTCGGCCAACTGTTGACCAACTGTTAGTCGACAGACAGCCGATGATACCTTTTGGGAACTGTTCACTAATTCACTCCTGATGGAAAAATTTAGCCACCTATTCTACTGATGGAGACAGATCGATGTGGTCAGACATAAGAGGAATCAGGTGATATCATTGAAGTTATAGTTATACCTGATGATCCTCCTTCACCGTATGACATTAGGGAGCTTAAGATACAGACGTTTTCGGGGCGACGGCGACGTGGAGACCGATTAAGATTGGGGCGAGATTGACTGCGCGTGGGGCGCCGCCGTCGCCCTCACGTCGGCGACGTAAGATCAGTGAGTTTGCCGTCGTGGTGAAAACGTGAGTTGATCTTGTTGATTTTTTTAATATACTGCCAATTTGTCACTTGTATTAAAGTGATTGCATAATCGCATTTCGCACAAATCATCACACGATGTCTCGGCCAACTCAAGAGACCTTTTGTTTTCTCTTTTGGTTAAAATGACCGAAGCAACAGTTAAGTCCAAATCGTCGAGGTAAGTTTTGGGCACGTACGGGTACAGTACTTGAATTCTTAACATAAAAGGGAATTTTTGCTTGCTGCCATTCCCTCTATCAATTCGTAGATGCACCTCGAAAACGTACACCTCAGATCTATGAACATTTTCATATGGAAAATTGAGGTTTTGTTAGCCATGCTACGACAAAAAAGCCTTAATTTATAAAGCGCAACAATTAATTAAACTCGACGAAGTCGCAAAGGCCGGCCGTCATCAGAATCTTAACAACTTAAATTATGGCACGAAAACAGTAACCTCTGGCCCAGTCTACCTGGGTTGTCACGTCGCCTTCGCCCCGAAAACGTCTGTATCTTAAGCTCCCTATTGCTTGTCCATCAGTGTCATTCAGTTCTTCTCCTGCAGCATCCTCTTCAAGAGTTGCCGATACTCTGCAGTTACCTTCTGTGGACCTTGTCACCAGACCTGACTCAGCAGACTGTCACTTGAACAGGCCACCACAGCCACCTATGGAGAATCAAAGAATCATGAGAAGGGAGACTCAGACTGCAGGTGGGTCAACTGTCAATGCTTCAACTTCATTGTGCAGGCCTTACAACGTACCAGCAAGAAAAAGAAAGAGGAGAGTGGCACTAGGCTAAGGAAAGCAGGGCCCTAAAAGTCCCTATTAACCCCTAGAGGTTTATATATATTTCGATTCTTTGCGTTATCAGGATTAATCTCCAAAAAATTTTTTGCGATTGATTAAATATTTTCCGAGATATGCCGCCTCAAAGTTACTCTTTTGTCCCCGCCCTTTTGACTTGGCCGGGAGAGAATTACTTGGCCGAGTCTACGACCTCTCCAGCATTCAGTGACGTCACAGCAAGAGCGAATAACTTCTTGTATAAGAACATGTGTCTATTGCTGTAAAATTATGTGAAAATGCCGACACGGTGCGTGGTCGCTGGTTGCTCAAATACACCAGATTCGTCTAAAGGCATATTCCTCCATAATATACCGTTTTATGGCGATGATCGCCCTGAAGCTAGGTCTAGAAGAAAGCAGTGGATCGACTTTTTGAGGAGAAAGCGCGCCAAGTTTGAACCTTCAGCAACATCTGTGATATGCTCTCGTCATTTTTCGCCTGAAGACTACTGTCAGCGATTCGAATTTGTAAAAACCCGTCCTCAACTTGTAAAAGACCACATTGGGACGTCTGCCATTCCGCGAATATACGCCTGCGATGAAAATGAAACACGATATGTCTTATCGAAGTCGCCGTAAGGTAAGTAGTTATGTTAAAGTAGTGCCTGGTCCTGGTCTTTTTTTGTCGATCGTGAGGTGAAGTTGTATTTTATGAATGGAATTTAGATCGTACGAGATGCCATAGAATCGCACGAGAACAGAGAAAGAGAAGAAATCGAAAAATGCGAAGTTGAAATTGAAGTGCCTCCTGACCCACTTTTCATCGCTGCTATCGTAGTAATCTTCGAAATTTTGTGTCGAATCCATAGATATGTTAATGTTCTCTTTATAATGTGCTTTTAAATGGGTAAATATCTCAGAAAACAACAAGAAAGTCGTAAAAGTCTCAAGTACATGTAGCTTCGCATAGTCAAGTGAATGTAGGCACATCGATCGAAAGACGTTCTGGCTGTGACGTCGTGAGGGACTTTTAGTTACCAGTATTAACTTTGCCCGGCCAAATAAGAAAGGCGTGGCCAAAGGACGAACTTTGAGGCGGCATATCTTGGGGAATATTTAATCAATCGCAAAAATTTTTTTAGAGATTAATCCTGATAACGCAAAGAATCGAAATATATGTAAACTTCTGGGGGTGAATAGAGACTGCCCTAAAGGACTGAAAGTCACATCTTCAAATATTGCAGGTTATTGGCCACTCCAGAAGTGTTTGATTTAATTTGGGATACTTCTGCAAATGATAGTCCATTGTCTTTCATTTTGCTGACATTTTAAGCTCATCATTGAAGATGTTTGCTTGATCTTTTTGCCAGCCACAAACCATGGATTCAGGGATCCTGTATTCTCTGTTCTGAACGACCTCTACCTGAGAAACAATTTTTAATTCAAATTTGTACACAGAACAACAAGCTTTCACAATATTTCAATAAGGTTTTTGGTCTTGGTCAGTAGCTGAATGTCTATCGTATATTTTTCATTAGAATCAAACAGCTTCTGAAGGCTAAAAGTTTAGGATCTCAGCTCTTAGATAAATATGTATGGTATATGTCAGGTCTTCTTGTAGTTGACTGTGTCCCCAGCTGTAAATTAAACCACTTAACAGATAAATCCGTTTTTTTCTTAGGAGAAAGAAAGAGGAGAATGTCATGTGGCTGCAGTTACCAGGATGTTAAACAACCCAAAGTCACATCTATGGACATGGCAGGTAATTGTCAGACATTTTGTCTTTGAGTGAATCCTGTTACCACATTGATCTATTTTTAATTATAATGTTGTAGATAACAGTGAAGTTTGTGTAACAGTGAACAATAGTTCACATTTTCGGCTGTCGGTAACCTGTTGGTCAACTGTCGGCCGACAGGTTACCAACACATTAGCAACAGTCGGCCGACAGTGTCAAGTAGACCAAAAATTGGGTAAAAGTGAAAAACGGGAGAAGTCATTTAAAGAAGATACCTTGCCTTTAATTGAAATAGTTACACGGCTTTTGCCAATTTTTTGTTTTTGCGTTAGTTAGCGAAACTTGCCCAAATTGGTTCGATCTCATTTATCCCCCATATTGAAAACTTGTTCTAGTTCCCAATCCCCTGTTACTGTTAGCAATAGTTTCGCAATGCATTATGGGGCGATGAAAAAAAAAAAACTACTTTTGGCTTACCAACAAACATCTTTCAACCCCACGACACTGATCTGTCGAGTTGGTCAGAGACATGTTTTCCTCCACGTTTCAACCAGAAACTAGACGTATATCTGCGTGAACTCGGGCTTTCAATATCACACATCTGGAGTTATCTTTAGGGGACT